CTTAACCTAACTTACCCTAACCTAACCTTCACCTGACCTACCATGAAGGAATGACCTCTCTAACACCAGGTAGAATAAATCATAATTAACTCCTTGCGTCTTCCTCTCTCACACACAGGTGGCCTTACCTTCATGATCTCACCTGGTCATTACCTGTGTGAATATTCATGCGGCAGGTTCCTCCTCGGATAACTTCAGGTTAGTTATTATGAGAACAAAGAAAATGAATTTTGTTATCAGATTGCTCTCTCTCTCTCTCTCTCTCTCTCTCTCTCTCTCTCTCTCTCTCTCTCTCTCTCTCTCTCTCTCTCTCTCTCTCTCTCTCTCTCACCACATGTCTGTAATATAAACAATAACGCAACATATCCATATGCACATCCTCGCTGTCAATTGGTACACACACACACACACACACACACGTACACACACACACACGTACACCCCCCACACACTTACAAAGCCCGAGTCGTAATTTTGTGTACACCATTTCATTATACGACCAAAAGGAGGTGGAATTTGTGGATGAGTGACCAGCGGCGCCTGTCTTGTTCACGAGCGTCCACACTGTGTTATATAAAAGACTCGGGCTTAATATCACAGAGGAAAATCACCTTTCACACGACTGGTTTATAAGGGAGAGGGAAATTACTATGTATGTGAGTGTATTATACGGGGATATTATTTATACTGTTGTATACGGGAATAATTTTAGTTCATGAATTAATACGGTGAGTTTTAGTCTATATATTATTCAGTTATACAACAATACCCCACATATTATATATCAATTAAGGCAACAATTTCAATAGAACGAGACAATCCTAGTTACAGTAATACTATTTCATTCCTCACATCAGTGTAAATACATAAATACAGTAAGATACAGCTAACAGTCATAACACCCCGGGTTTACAGAGTAGTAAATATGTTGAACTTACAGTACATAATATTACATATGACGTTTAGGGTGTATTGATAACGAAATCTTGTAAAATAAAAATAAAGCAATTTGTGCACACTTGTTTTACCACGGTACTGTATATATACGCTTCTGACAGATTTTGTTTTATAGTAGTTCAAAGTCTGTCTTTGTCTGTACAGTATGTATGTATGTATGTATGTATGTATGTATGTATGTATGTATGTATGTATGTATGTATGTATGTATGTATGTATGTAAGGGAGATTTTATTTGTTTGCGCCAACAAAAACAACAAACACGACAGAGTAAATTGTTTCGTCATTTTCATAACAAAAGTATCACACCTTAATTTAAGTTAATTGAGTTTTGCATTTTTCACAGCTCGACAAAGATAAGAGACTGTGTTATGATGTTTACGTAGATAATACTAATGTCATATCAAATTGTGTTTATGTGTGTGAGAGAGAGAGAGATGGTATGATAAATAGAGGGAATGAGGGAGGAGGGAAACGAGCCAGACACTCAGACAGACAGAGAGAAACGAGTGGATAAATTGTGAAGGAGTAAGAGAAAGGGATGGAGTGTGGGACAGACAGAGAAAGGGCAGGATAATGAGGAAAAGGAGAGAGAAAGTAAACAGAGAAGAAACTTAATTAAGAACAAAAGTTAAAAGATGGAAATAATTTATTCTATTAATTTGGATATTATTAAAATGCTATTATTATTATTATTATTATTATTATTATTATTGTCATTATTATTATTATTATTATTATTATTATTATTATTATTATTATTATTATTATTATTATTATTATTATTATCACTGGTTTATACATGGTCTGTGTCCCACACACCTGTTGCCCTTTACCTGTAATTCTCACCTGTAATAATGCAGCTTATGAGAATAATTCCCATGGTTGAGCTGAAGCATTATCCGTTACCTCAACCACCTCATAATACACGACTCTCTCTCTCTCCCCATGAGGCGTATTAGAGACATGAGTGAGTGACATGATCCCGGGGCGTCACTCACCCCTTCACCTCACCCATATTTATTATGCATTATGGTCATTAAGACAATCAACATTTTAAGAGACGTAACAACGGGAGAGAAGAGCGGATGGTTCTCGCCTGGTCAAGTTCCCCCAAAAGTAATTACCACAACTGACAACAACTAATGACTTCGGTAGCTTTTATCGTATCAGGCAGGAGTGTGTGTGCGAGGGTGAGGAACAAAGAGTCAGTCAACATTCTTGTTCTAGGAGGAGTAGGGAGAAGGAAGAAGAGGAAGAGAAGGAGAGGACGAGGAAGAGGACGAGAAGGAGCAGGAGGAGGAGTAAGAAGAGGAGTAGGAGGAAGAATAGGAAAGAAGGAAGACGGAAGCTTGGGGTGCCTCACGCTGGCTGCACTAGGATACACTGCTGAGTTCAACTGAGTTTACGTATAACATATTGACACGTTAGCAGGACATAGCTTAACATTCAACTAAAGTACATTACATAGGGTGCAGTGGCCTAGAGGATACAACACTCATATCCTACCCTAAAGTTCACTGGCTCCCGACCTGGACACAAAACCCCCACTGTGACCGGATACCTGACTTTACAGATGGGGAAATGAGGGCGGTCAGGTGCAGTGCAATATTATTTATTCATCTTTATATTTAATCACTGTTTGTATCAGAGACTCGCAGCTGAATTTCATTGGTTTACGAGTTTTAATCTGTGATGGGTACTGAATAAACGTGATTGGTCGCAAATGATGCACATGAGTACTTTTTTCCATAAGAGGGTACTTTAATTCCGTGAAGGGTTACTTTATTTCCATGAGGGTACTTTATTTCCACGAGGGGTACTTTATTTCCATGAGGGGTACTTGAATTCCATGAGAAGGTACTTTATTTCCATAAGGGGTACTTTATTTCCACGAGGGGTACTTTATTTCCACGAGGGGTACTTTATTTTTACGAGGGGGTACTTTATTTCCATGAAGGGGGTACTTTATTTACATAAGAGGGTACTTTATTTCCAAGAGGGGGTACTATGTTTCCATGATGGGTACTTTATTTCCACGGGGGTACTTTATTTCCACGAGGAATACTTTATTTCCATGAGAGGGTACTTTACTTCCATGAGGGGTACTTTATTTTCATGAGGGGGTATTTTATTTCCATGAGGGGGTACTTTATTTCCATGAGGATACTTTATTTCCACTAGGGGTACTTTGTTTCCACGAAGGGTACTTTATTTCTGTGGGGGAACTTTATTTCCAAAAGAGGGCACTATATTTCCATGATGAGGTACTTTATATCCATGAGGGGGTACTTTATTTCCGTGAGGGGTACTTTATTTCCCCTAGGGCCACCTTATTTCCACGCTGGGGTACTTTATTTCCGAGAGGGGGTACTTTACTTCTATGAGGGGTACTTTATTTCCCCGAGGAGCACTTTATTTCCATGATGGGGTACTTTATTTCCGTGAGGGGGTACTTTATTTCCAAGGGGGTACTTTATTTCCGTGAGAGTGAAATATAGACGCCTTTATTCCAGTAGGGTATCAAAAGCACGCCATTATCCTACAGGCAGGGGCGACCACTACTACATTCAACGCCACATTTCCATACCAAAGTTGAACAATATTTTTCCTATTGTGTAGTGAACTTGTGAGTGATGTGTTGTCGGACTCCAGTCATGTGCTATACTGTTTACCTGGCACAGCTCAGATCACCAGCATATCGGTGTACGATAAAGGAGATGTGTAATGCTGTGGTGAAGCTGGGGGAGTATTGTGGTGTAGTTGGGGGAGTGTTGTGGTGCAGTTGGGGGAGTGTTTTGGTGCAGTTGGGGGAGTGTTTTGGTGCAGTTTGGGGAGTGTTGTGGTGCAGCTGGGAGTGTTGTGTAGTGCAGTTGGGGAAATGTTGTGGTGCAGTTGGGGAGTGTTGTGGTGCAGCTGGGGGGTGTTGTGGTGCAGTTTGGGAGTGTGTGTGGTGCAGTTGGGGGAATGTTGTGGTGCAGTTGGGGAATGTTGTGGTGCAGCTGGGGGGTGTTGTAGTGCAGTTGGGGAAATGTTGTGGTGCAGTTGGGGAGTGTTGTGGTGCAGCTGGGGGGTGTTGTAGTGCAGTTGGGGAATGTTGTGGTGCAGTTGGGGAGTGTTGTGGTGCAGCTGGGGGAGTGTTGTGGTGCAGTTTGGGGAGTGTTGTGGTGCAGTTGGGGGAATGTTGTGGTGCAGTTGGGGGATTGTTATGGTGCAGTTGGGGGGAGTGTTGTGGCAGAGCTGGAGGGGTGGGGATATTGTGGTAGGGGGGAGTAAGAAGGTATTTGAGATGTTGCGGGAGTCAGTCATGAAACAAACTCTCCCATGATAATTATGTGTTACTGTACGACACATAGATTACCTTCACGGTTAGTTGCTACAGTAATGAACACATATTACGTCACCAAACATGTAATACAGTTGGGAATAGGAGATAAATGTTTTGTTATATAAGAGCAATTGAATATTCGCAGAAAAATTAATTTTGTTAATTTGTCATAGTTGGTGTAGTGTGTATAACTTTTTGAAGTACAGAAAAATATGTAAACAACAGATAAATAATTACTTGTTCCATATAACACACAAAAGAAACTTATTCCATATTTCATAACATAAGAGACCAACTTTTACCACAAATTTGTTCTCGAAAAGTTGCAACAATCCTTTTAGTTGTCACAAAAACAATAAAATATTTTATAAAACATTTATTAAAGAGGTTTTCTGTGAGATGTGTACCAAATGGCATGATGGTGCAGGAGTCTAGTTACTGTGTTAATGTATAAACCTTAGCCGTCTTGTGACCCTTATCTGAGGGCCAGGGCTGTCAGTGCCTCTTGCGGGTGGGGGGGAGGGATGCCAGCTGTGTCCCCCAGGAAGCACCACGGCAACAAACATCACAACACAAACCGAGTTTCTGAGATGTTTTACTTTTTACAATGTTTTCCTCTAGATTATTAGGTGACGTCATTCGCCATATTCTGTTGTCTTGGAGATAAATTTATCGATGCCTCCAGCCATGAGACACACGTTATTAATCCCTCAAGACGCGAGGCAGACGCCAAGGATGCCTCAAGACACAAAATAGACGCCAAGGATGCCCCAAGACACAAGACAAACACCAAGGATGCCTCAAGACACAAGACAGACGCCAAGGATGCCCTAAGACACAAGACAGACACCAAGGATGCCTCAAGACACAAGACAGACGCCAAGGATGCCTCAAGACACAAGACAGACGGCCACAGAGAAGCGTATAGTGATGCCTTGCCAAAAAACGTGAACACTGACTTGCCTATGAAAACTTGCAGCAAGTTAATGTTAACCTACATAAGCTATGAATAATAACATATAGACTTAAACTGTACTAAGGGTCTATCCCGCTAAATATCTTAAGGGTCATATTCCCTAGCTTGATTACGGGACATTTGCTGTTATGTGTCGTCAGCCATGAGAAACTGCCATTTAAGATGCTGGGAGGTTTTATGTATTCGTGGCTGGAAGGAACAAGACCGAGCAGGAAGTAAATCACGCAACAATGTGTGGGTGAGTTAGGAGCCAGCGAGAGCATACATACAAACATACATACATACATACATACATACATACAAACATACATACATACATAATAATAATGGAAGCTGTCGCCAACACAACAACCACACCCGAGTTAACGAGCTGCATGACCCAGTGTTAAGGAATAGTCCGAGAAGACCGGACAACTCGCCAACCGCACTGGTTAACCAATACCCCGGAATACGATTCGCAAATCGATTAACATCCAGGTTCCCAATTGCTGCTGGGTAGACAGAGGCAAATGGCGTAAAGAAACTTGCCCATAATTTCAGCCTGCCCGAGGATCGATCCCGGGTCCGCTCGCAATACATATATACATACAAACATGTACATACATACATACATACATACATACATACATACATACATACATACATACATACCAAACAAGACAAGACAAATGACAAAGAACAACTCGATTCAACCAAATACTATCACAAGAAACCCATTATAAGACACAGATACCACAAGGGTTCATCCAGCATGTTAGGGAAAGCTCTTGTTATTACGGTAACATGAGAGGGAAAAAAAGGTGGATGGGTGGGGGGTAAAAGATGAGGGGTAGGGTAGGGAGAGGAGGAGGATCTCTTAATACAGGGTAGAGCCAGCTGGAGTAATGCCAGGAAATGGTTTTGTATAGTTGTGTATTTTTATGATCAGGATGAAACTGTATATCATAGCTGTTGTATGGGAGGGTTAAGGTTGGTGCGATCTTTCCCCTCTTGTGATGTGCTATTCGACCCCTGACCTCTGGATCTTTTTCTCTAGCTTACTCCTGATCTTCCTTCCTGACCTTCCATCCTGACATCCTATACCCGACCTTCCATCCTGACAACCTACACCCGATCTTCCTTTCTGACATCCTATACCCTACCTTCCTTCCTGACATCCTATACCTGACCTTCCTTCCTGACATCTTATACCCGACCTTCCTTCCTGATATCTTATACCCGACTTTCCTTCCTGACGTCCTACTAGATCACTGAACTCCTAATCTTCCCTTTGACCTGCTGACCTTCCCCTCTGACATTCTGACTTTCCCTCTTACATCCTGACCTTCCCCTGACATCCTGACCTTCCCTCTGACTTCTTGACGTTCCTCCTGACATCCCGACTCATCAGGCCGTGGAGTAAGACCTAATGCATTTGATGGTCGCTCGCCCTTATGACGGGACCCTGGGAGCTCAGTAGTGCTTCTGTTTTCTATTTAAATAACACCACTAATGACACCGCACTGTGATACCACTTCATTAATAACACAGTAAGATACAGAACTACCTCACCCCCTACCCCTTCCTCCCTCCTACCCCCTACCCCTTCCTCCCTCCTACCCCTTACCCCTTCCTCCCTCCTACCCTTCCTCTATCCTACCCCCTACCCCTTCCTCTTCCCTAGCCCCCTACTTCTTCCTCCCTCCTACCCCCTACCCCTTCCTCTGTCCTACCCCCTACTTCTTCCTCCTCCCTACCCTCTACCCCTTCCTCTCTCCTACCCCCTACCCCTACTCACTCCTTCTTTATCACTCAAAACACTTATCTCCTCTTTCTTCCCTACGCCCTTACCCCTCCTCCCACATTCCTCCTCCCGCATCCCCCTCCCTCATCCTTCCTCCCTCATCTCTCATTCTTTTTTCATCTCTCCTCCCTCTTCCTCTTCCTTCCACTCCCCCTCTTCCCTCCACCCCCTCCCCCTCTCTTCTCTCCACCCCTCTTCCCTCCACCCACCTCTTCCCTCCTACCTCACCCCTCCTTTCACCCACCACCAAATCGATCTCCCCGTTGAATCAGTGGTCATTAATATTCAAACGTCAGTGCTTGTTGCCTGGCAGTGGTACCTCAGTGTTACCTTCCTGTCATGTGGTCAACTTGTCCCTCAGGCAGCTGTTACAAGTGTGGAGTGTGTTTTACAATGTTATATTTTCGCACGTGTTTCAAATTAGGTCAAGTAGGAGAGTGATGTGTGCGTGTGAGTGTGTGTATGTCCCTGTGAGTGTGCATGTGTGTGCATGGATTACTTCTGTGCCCTTGTGTGTATGTGGGGGGAGGTGAGTAAAGTACGATGGAAGCTTCTCAATCAACTCATTTAACGGGTTTATTCAGAATCGAGTAGCACGGTCTTTTTTAATGACTTATACATAAGTTCGTTGTTATGTTCACACACACACACACACACACACACACACACACACACACACACACACACACACACACGAACATCAACAACAACCACGTCACCATCAACCATACCAAGACCATGGTTATGCACATCAACCACTCCTCCGACGTTGTCCCACCCCCTTCCATTACTTTTGGTCCCAACACACTACAGGTTGTAGATTCCACTAAGTTCCTTGGCGTCACCATAGACAATAAACGTCAGTGAAGTTGTCAAATCCTCCAGTTTCCGTCTCCACCTCCTCCGCCTACTCAAGTCCCTCGGAGTTCCTGCCCCCGAGCTCCTCAGTGTTTACTCAACATTCATACTTCCCAAGCTCACCTATGTCTCCCCTACCTGGTCTTCCTCCCTAAATGCCACACAACGTAAACAAATAGAAATAGTGCAAAAGTGGGCATGCAAGATTATTCTCTCACCCTTCCTACTCCACATATCAAGAAGCGCTCAACACACTGACCCTCTCGGCTCTCTCTGACCATCACCACGACCTCATCTGTAAATTTGGTGAGAAGCTTCTGCACCATCCTCGACACCGGCTCCTACTACCACCTGAGATCCCTCGTCCGAGAATTGTTGTTCTACACCACAACCGCATCCAGCCCATACGAGCACGAACTGATCGCTGTAAGAACAGCCCAGTCCCAACCATTGTAAAAATTACCAATAACTTGTAATCAACCAGTGTATTCACTGCCAGTCAATCTTACTTTTTGCACTGTCACTAGGTTGAAATGCCCTGTAGTATGACCTTCTCCCCACCCAGTTATTATATATCATATTTGTATCATTTATGTTTCTTGTATATTAATTGTAAATCAAGAGACCCATTCCAAAATTATGTAACTGTATATTTTCAGCCTTCCGGCTGCCATGCTCTTTCAATAAACCGTTAATTATTATTATTATTTTGATTATTACTCTCTCTCACACACACACACACACACACACACAAACAAAAAAGCAAGACACCTAAGAGAGAGAGAGATTAATCATTGTGGTAAGTGCCATCAGCTTTAAAGTGTAGACAATATTAGGACAGATAAACCACGTAATACCGGGAGTGTTGATGAGACCTGACCTTTGTCTTATACTGTACTCTGCCAGGGGAGGATGAGAGGGTACTGGGAGGTGTGGGAGGGTCGTGGTGGAGGGGGAGGGTGAGAGGGTGCTGGGAGGTGTGGGAGGGTCGTGGTGGAGGGGGAGGGTGAGAGGTTACTGTGAGGTGAGGGAGGGTCGTGGTGAAGGGGGAGGCTGAGAGGGTACTGTGAGGTGAGGGAGGGTCGTGGTGAAGGGGGAGGCTGAGAGGGTACTGTGAGGTGAGGGAGGGTCGTGGTGAAGGGGGAGGCTGAGAGGGTCGTCGTAGTGGGGGGGAGGGGTACTGTGAGGTGAGGGAGGTGATGGAGGTCGTGGTGGAGGGGGATGAGAGGGTACTGTGAGGGAGGTGATGGAGGGTCGTGGTGGAGGGGGGGATGAGAGGGTACTGGGAGGTTAGGGAGGTGAAGGACGGTCGTGGTGGAGGGTAGGTAAGAGGAGGGAGGGGTGAGAAGGGAGGAGAGTGGAGGAAGGGGATGGAAGGGGGAGCGAGGTGGTGGATGGGTTGGAAGAGGGGAAGGGGTGGGAGAGATGTGGTGAAGGGGAGGTAAGAGGAGGGAGGGGAAGGAGGGAGGTGATGGAGTGTAAGTAAGAGGAGGGAGGAGTGGGAGGGAGGTGGTGGAAGGGATCAAGAAGAGGAAGGGGGTGGGAGGGGTGGTGGAGGGGGAGGAAAGGAGGTAGTGGAAAAGGAGGAAAGCGGTGAAAGGGAGGAAAGTGTAGGAAGGGGTGGAAGAGGGAGTGAGGGGAAGAAGAGGAAGGAGGGGGAGTCGTAAAGAAGGGAAGGAGTGGAAGGAATCATAATTCCTTCACATTATCTCTTAATTTCATCTTATTAAAACAAAACCATTAAACATAAACAAAAACTTCACTCTACATCACAAAGGCGAAGTGACGTCACGTAATTGTTGATAAGGCACTAACAGTCGATAAATTAGATAGATTTATGCAAATTTCGAGCCTTTCTTGGAAAATTTATAATGAAGAAAATAATCTGCGATCATCATTGTTGAAAGAAATTTATCTTTGGTTTATTGAGAACTTGGAATAAATTCTTCGGGTAATTTGCCTTAGGAACAGATGAAGGAAGAAGTGCCTTAGGATTTTTTTTTATGAAGAGAGACAATTATTTAAAGGTTCTTAATATCTTTATAAAAATTTATTGTTTACTGTTGAACCGTATATAAATAATCAACTAAACTCCCCACACACACACGCTAAATCTACTACCTTGCTGTCACTAGGAACCGAGTATGACGATCATCCAGTTATGATACAATGAAATGAGTTATTAAGGATGTCACCTTCGTTGAGGTGCTCTGAGGTAGGAAGAGAGGCCGATACGTGACCGGCAGGGTCGTCCACAGATGTTACACATGTGGAGCGCTACATTTAGTGCGGGAGAGGAGGCGTCAACGACTTTACAGCGTTGGCGCTTGTCTGCCTCGGTATGCAGTCGGGCTAACTAGAAAGTATTGACACCTTCTCACGTGGTGCTCCTCCAAACGCTAAGGTGTGGAGTAATCATCTCCTAGGTGAGAGAGTCGATTTGGCACTTTTTCAGGTTTGTCTTAAGACTATCCTTATACCTTTTCATTTGTCCGCCACCGTTACGTTTAATATTCATTAGGTTTACTGTAAAGTAGCTGCAAACGCAGTCTACTGTCGTCCATGCTGGTAACATACCCAGTCCAGCATAGCTGTTCATGGATAATTGTATCCACGATGCTCCTACAGCGAACTCGGAGGATGGAAAGTAGACTACGTTTGTGAAAGTTTTCAAGTACCTTGAGGTGCCTCCTGTTTGTGACCCATGTCTTGCTGCTATATAGCAGGGTGGGGAGGACCACTGCTATCGTGCAGCTTTTTAGATAATTTCAGCCAAACTGGCAATGGCATGAGTAAGAAAGGCAGCCAAGAAAATGGAAAAGAGAGTTGGTACCAGTACAAATTCTTGTTTTACCCCTGTTTAGATGGGGAAGAACTCAGATTGGGTGTCATTGTGCAGGACACTGCCTATCATGCCATCGTAGAGTTGCCTCACAATGGCGATGAATTTTGGTGGGCAGCCATAACGGCTGAGGATCCACTAGAGGGCTTCCCTGTTGGCCGAGTAGAAGGCCTTGGTTAGATCGATGAAGGCCATGTTCAGGTCACGATGCTATTCTCTGCACTTTTCCTGTATCTGGCGGGCAGCAAAGATCATGTCAGTGGTGTCACGTGATGGTTTAAACTCACATTGAGGTTCTGGTTGGAAGTTTTCCGCCTCAGGAAAAAGTCTGCTTAGAAGGAGTCGGGCGATAATCTTGCAAGCTATGGTCAGCAGCGAGATTCCATGGAAGTTGCCACAGTCTGACCGGTCTCCCTTGTTCTTATAAATATTGACGATGGAGGCGTATTTAGGAGCTTGCGGGATTTCTTCCTTTCCCATTTATTCTCCAGGAGAGAGTGGAGACGGCTGGTAAGCAGATGTCCTCCTGCTTTATACACCCCGGCTGGGATTCCATCAGGCCCTGAGGCTTTGTTATTTTCATCTGTTTGATGGCAGTAGCTACCTCATCCAGGGATGGAGGATAGCTGAGGTGGGTCAGCTCTGGATGCTGAGGAACCTGATGGGTAGTTAGGACATTCATATCGGTGTTTCAGTTGAGCAGTGAATGGTAGTGCTCTTTCAAGCACTGAAAGATGTCTGCTTCATATTAATTAGGGAGTTACCATCAGATGAGCGGAGGGGAGCTGTGCCATGAGTGATTGGCCCATAAAATGTTTTAGTGGAGTTGAAAAATTCGCACATCTTACGTTAATCTGCAAGTTTTTGCATTTCATATATTTTTAAACCAATCGTCCTTTAGACTGCGAAGTTCGTGCTGGGCAGTTGCTTTCTTCTTGGAGAAGATGTCAGCTTTGGGCTGACACCGAGCGTTGTTCTGTCAATCACTTAAAGCAGTTTATCATCGACAACGATTACATTGATTTCCGGGTCATTTTCATCAAACCAATCCTGGCGTATTCTTTCGATTTGGCAGAGGGTCTCTCTGTAGGTATTTTTGTCATGACAGTGTCGAGAATACCCAATTCGGCACTGGGATTTGGGTTGTTTGTTGTCGGGTTGTTTATCAGCCCATGTTCGAGGTGCTCTCTAAAAGCATGTGCTATTGCTAGATCCTCCAAACGCTTTGTGTTCAAACCTCTTCTGGAGGCTTTTTTCCTTCGCCGTTTTCGGGCGACGTGAAGTGAGAGCTTGACCTTGACGAGCCGATGAATAGTGTCGCAGTGGTCTGAGCCACGCATGACTCTGGTGATGAGGACACCTCGGCGATCTCTTTCTCTGACAATAATGTAGTCAATGAGATGCCACTGTTTGGATCGTAGGTGTTGCCACGAACCCTTGAACTTGCCGGTATGCTTAAACAAGATAATGGTAATAGTGAGGTTGTGTGCAGCACACTTGCTGAGGAGGAGTAGGCCGTTGGGATTACACTTGCCTAGTCCATTTCTCCCTATGGTTCCCTGCCAAATATCAGCATCTCTGCCAACTCTGGCATTAAAGTCACCAAGGAGCACAACCTTGTCTTCTCTAGGGATAGAGGTTAGCACTCTGTCGAGGTCGGTGTAAAAGGCCTCCTTGATGTCATCGTCTGCATCCAGTGTTGGGGCTTATGCACTGATGAAGAAGGCATGATGTGAGTGATTCAGTGGGACTCGGAGCATCATGATGCACACGTTGTTCCCAACACGTACTTCATTTAGCCTATGTAGGATGCATTCGCATATAACAAAGCCAACTCCATAAATGCGTTTTTTTCTCCACAGCAGGCTTACCCTTCCAGAAGAAGGTATAGCTTCACCCCGTTCTGTGAGTCCACCCTCGTCTGGGAGCCGGGACTCACTAATGACGGCTATGTCCATGTTATCCCAAGCCAGCTCTTTTGCCACAAGGGTGGTTCTTCTTTTAGGATGCTCATTTGTGCCAGTATTCAGAAGGGTCCTAACATTCCATGCAGTGACCATAAGAGGTTGTGTAGTTTTTTTGTGTTTTATCTGTGATTATGATTGTGTTTTTGACCGCATAAGGATGACCTTCCTAGGTGCGGTTGCCTAGTCAGGTTGGTTAATTAAGCAGGCTATGTTTAGGACACCTTTTCTAACCCCCTCCCCATGTTGGGTGAGCAGAGTGGCTCCTCGAAAGGGCTGGTCAGTCGCACAGACTGGACCGGATTGCACTGCTGCCTAGATGTCAGTGCATAAACGACTATCTATGCCACCCATGTGCAGAGTTGTGAGTAGAGACTCCCGACAATCATCTCTGCCTTTCCCCGTCGTCACTCGTCCTTCGCCATAGTACTTTTTTGGGGTGATAGGGGTTTTGATGATGATTTTATAGAAAATTTTTGAGTCAACCAGTATTTTTAAAATTACTCATCTGTCGCACCAACGTAAGTTTTATCCACTGTCACACCACCATAAATCCACCCACTGTCGCGCCACCATAAATTTATCTCCCTCAAAAAGAACATTATCTCTGGTCTCCAGGTGTATCCATAATTCTCCCGTTCATTAAGACTATCACCACAGTCCCTTCCTCTACAGCCACTACAAGACCTGTACAGCCTCCACAGGACCTCCTCTATCGCCTCATCAGGACCTCCTCTACAGCCTCATCAGGACCTCCTCTACAGCCTCAACAGGACCTCCTCTACAGCCTCCACAGGATCTCCTCTGCAGCCTCAACAGGACCTCCTCTACAGCCTCCACAGGATCTCCTCTGCAGCCTCAACAGGACCTCCTTTACAACCTCAAAAGGACCTCCTCTACAGACACTACAGGACCTCCTCTACAGGAAATAGTAACAACAATAAAAGCGATGAAAGTGAGCATCGTCCCAGAAACATTGTTTACTACAGAAACCAATTTCAGAGGGATTGGACTCGATCCCGGCCGGTCATAGCGGGATTATGGGGAATGGCTACTGTAACTCCGCTACCTTAATAGATTTTATTACGTTGGCACACCTAGTCTAGGGCGGGTTATATCTGAGCCAATCATAGCGCGATCACCTGGATTCTAGTTCTATCAGAGGTTTAAATCGTGCGTTGGGTTAATAGTAAGGTCTGGCGTGTTTGTTTTTTTTATACGCAGGGTCATCGAGAAAGAATGTCCAGATATTAAAGGGTTATAAGTATATTAATAATTGGACATTACTTCTCCATGACCCTGTTAAGATATACAGGATGAATCATTTATTTTATGTAAGTCTTGGACGATGAATGTATGTAGCTTAAAGGACGAACTTCCATAAACATTAATTAGTGGAAAGACTCAAGGAGCAGCTGCAAGAAATACCTAAGAACTTGAAGGCTTTCTGTCCACACCAATTATCTCTATCATGACCTGATATTAAAATTTATGCCTTGATGAAGTATTAGTTATCATCAATATGGTCACTGAGGATTTATATATTTTGGAAAATTAATACGATGATGATTGTTCGTTTAATTGTTTGTTGTGTTGCAAAAATATAACAACGATGCAGTAATGACAAGTGTATTGTTTCGATGAACTAATAACAATGATATGAAATATATGATGACTATGTGTTCAGTGAACGTTGAATGCGACTAAACTGTTCATATTATTAAACAACGACATAAAACAAAAGAGAATGACACAATTTACCTCACTGTCATGTATAACAGTCACGCTCTCTCACAGTCTAAACATCTATGACAGTCACTCTGGTGGAAACATCTGTAACAGTCACTCTGGTGTAAACATCTATGACAGTCACTCTGGTGTAAACATCTGTAACAGTCACTCTGGTGTAAACATCTATGACAGTCACTCTGGTGTAAACATCTATGACAGTCACTCTGGTGTAAACATCTATGACAGTCACTCTGGTGTAAACATCTGTAACAGTCACTCTGGTGTAAACATCTATGACAGTCACTCTGGTGTAAACATCTATGACAGTCACTCTGGTGTAAACATCTATGACAGTCACTCTGGTGTAAACATCTATGACAGTCACTCTGGTGGAAACATCTGTAACAGTCACTCTGGTGTAAACATCTATGACAGTCACTCTGGTGTAAACATCTATGACAGTCACTCTGGTGTAAACATCTGTAACAGTCACTCTCCCTCACTACTACTTGACCTCCTCCCGCCACTCCCTGACCTCCTCCCGCTACTCCTTCACTTACTCCCGCCACTCCTTCACCTCTTCCCCCTACTCTTTGTCCTCCTTCCACTACTCCTTGACCTCTTCCCACTACTCCTTGACCTCCTCCCTCTCCTTCTTGACCTCTTCCCACTACTCCTTGACCTCCTCCCACTACTTCTTGACCTCTTCCCACTACTCCTTGACCTCCTCCCACTACTTCTTGACCTCTTCCCACTACTCCTTGACCTCCTCCCTCTCCTTCTTGACCTCTTCCCACTACTCCTTGACCTCCTCCCACTACTTCTTGACCTCTTCCCACTACTCCTTGACCTCCTCCCGCTACTCTTTTAACCTCACCCCGCGGCACAATTTCTTCATCAGAAAGAAAATTTAATTCGACAGAAAGAATATAAAGAAGAGAAAAAAAAAATAAAAAAACACTCCTTAACGGCCAACGGGAAGACTCCTTAGCGAGACGAGAGGAAGCGAGGAGTCGGAAGTGACCAATTAGACGCCCCGCAGGCCAACATCTTATCTTGGATCATCTGGCCAAGAGGAGAGGAAGAGGAGAGAAGAGGAGGGTGAGAGGGGTATGAGGAGGGAGAGGGGGGATGAGGAGGGAGAATAGGATGAGGAGGAAGAGGAGACAAAAGGAGGAGGGAGAGAAGAAGAGGGAGAGGGGGGATGAGGAGGGGAAAGGAAGGAGGAGGAAATGGGAAGGAGGGGGAGAGGGCGAAAAGGAGGAAGGGGACGAGGGGGATAAAGAGGAAAAGAGTGAAGGGGAAGAAGACATGAGAGTTTGAGGAATAAGATTTTTATCCCTATCTCTCTCTCTCTCTCTCTCTCTCTCTCTCTCTCTCTCTCTCTCTCTCTCTCTCTCTCTCCCTCTCTTCCTAACTTTAGATTGGAAGCGTTTAGGAAGAAATGAGCTTTGGGTACCTCCTCTCTCTCTCCTTGTCCCACTTCTCTCCCCCCTCCCCTTCCCTCCCTGTTCCACTCCTCTCCTTCTCTCTCCTCCTTCCCTACCCCCTTCTCTCCCTCTCACCCCGGGCTATCACTAATTTTTATAGATGCGAAGCTAGTAACACGAGAGAAAAGAGATCACTATTGTTTTTTGTTCTCTGGGTCGATCTTCAACAATTATTAAACTGAAGAAGAAAGAAATTAACCTTTTGTTCCCTGCGAGAGAGAATGTCAATTGAAGGACTCAGAAGGTTATATATAAATAAATAAATAAATAAATATATATATATATATATATATATATATATATATATATATATATATATATATATATATATATATATATATATATATATATATATATATATATATATAACTTGATGGACGTTGTGACGGTAATTGACCACTTAACGAGTCAACTCTCTATTGTAGGATTTGGGTCATTCTTTCGTAGGATGGAGATAGTTCAAGGTCTATGTTTTTTCCTCTTACTATTTGTCTTATTCTTAATTGGTATAGTGGATAGAAATTGATTCTCCAAAAGTCGTAAATTACCATTTTAGACTAATATTTCTTTGTGGTTTTAATAATATCTCCTTTAATCAAGACAGTGTGTTTTTTACCTTCCCTTATGGCCTTTATCTCTTGCCTGTTAATATCTATATACCTCCCAGTCGTGTTATGCGTCAGCCACTTATGTTAAGCTAAATTATTATAGTGTTTTATGAACGTTTGTTAACATAATTATCATAAGAAACATACATAGCGGCATAAAGATCAGTTTTATCAAGAGAAAACGCAACTCTCAAGAAAGTGCAACTCTCAAGAAAGCACAACTCTCAAGAAAGTGCAACTCTCAAGAAAGTGCAACTCTTAAGAAAGTGCAACTCTCAAGAAAGCACAACTCTCAAGAAAGCACAACTCTCAAGAAAGTGCAACTCTCAAGAAAGTGCAACTCTTAAGAAAGTGCAACTCTCAAGAAAGCACAACTCTCAAGAAAGCACAACTCTTAAGAAAGCACAACTCTCAAGAAAGTGCAACTCTCAAGAAAGCACAACTCTCAAGAAAGTGCAACTCTCAAGAAAGTGTAAGTCCACCTTCATGATGGTTAAAACTGAACTCTTGATCCAGGCACTCCACACCTCTTCCCCTTGATAGCCTTGCCAGCCTTGCTAGACTCCAGAGTTCAGTGTTTATAATATCACATCTGTTCTCACACGTAAATCCCAGTGAAGTTCCTCGCCCAGATAACAACCCCACATTTGTTCTGAAGTAATGTGCCCCAAGAGGAAAGAGACAGTACAGTCAATTTAGCTCCGAGTAACAGAAGTAACAAAGAGGCGTTACCATTCAGAGGAACAGTCAACGTTATGTGTAGTAACTGGAGGTGACAATGAGACTTTCCTACACTGCTGTCTACAGAAACTGGAAGAAACATAGACGTAAATTACTCACTCAACACTAGGGGTGACATAGAGATATTACTATACAGAAACAGTCAACACTCACCAAGTCGTCCACTCGCTTCCGACACACCAACCCTGAAAAGAAAAGCCAAACGTCAGTACAAGTTCTCTATTAAAAAACTCCCGCCAGGAAGCACCACACGACTGTACTTCTTTCAACAAACACTACATCAAACATATTTCTTTAAGGTAATTCCTAGATTATCATTATTTACTTGAGAGAAGATGATGGTCACATTGTTATTTGGGTTTACAGGCTGAAGAGTTATATCCAAATATCTGTACACAACAAGAAGCGCAGTTTTAATAAGCCTCCAGGAGTTGTAGCAGCAACAGGAGTGTTCTGTGTAGGGGAGTAGCTCGTCTGAGGTCTGAGGAGAGAGTCGCAAGTCTCCCACGAAGGAATTTGTTCCCAGAGTTAATTTCGGAAAGAAAACAACAGCCGTACATATAACCGAGGACACATTGGAGATAATTAACGCAGCTTTCGTGGAATTTGTAGTCAAAACAAGACAATGGGGAATATACCAAATAAGAAACCTTTTGTGAGAGAGTCATTACAGTGAAACACGAGAGGAGATACACGCAGGAACTCGGAGATCACACAGGAGACGGAACAATCAGGTAAGAGGAAAGAAATGTTGGGCATTGTTTCTTCCAATTACCTGAACCAATGTCTTCCTCGGCGCTTAACTACGGTGAAAAATTCCGGGTGAGAGACCACACAAGGGAGAAAAGGAAACGGAATACCTGATAATGGTGGTTTTTATTTCTTAGGGTGTACAGTTTAAGGAGAAACAGCACAAACACGGAGGAGACAACAGCGTGAGAGATGGCCGCTGACACCACAGCTGTACTCTGGCAGGCAGAGGATGAGCACCAACGTGATGCTATGTATTCGATGGTAATTCCAATGTTGTTGAGGACTGGAGTGTGTGTGTGTGTGTGTGTGTGTGTGTGTGTGTGTGTGTGTGTGTGTGTGTGTGTGTGTGTGTGTGTGTGTGTGTGTGTGTATGTGTGTGTGTGTGTGAGGACCTGAGAGCAGCATAGTAGAATTAAGCCTTTTTTCTTTCGGTACGAAAAGAGGCAGTAATGGCTTGGTACTGCACTCGAGTACATTCATTTCTTCACCTGTAATGTCAGGTAACCCATTCACAGCCGGGTGAAATGGGGATGCCGTGGGAGCAATCCAGTGACCCTAGGGACAAGATGGGAGCGCTATATCCACATGGTCGCCGCATCCCTATCAAGGCGAGGCTTGCAATGTGTTCATATATACAGACTAATGTGGCGTGTTAAAGAGTCCCCACCTGAATGGCTTTTGCCCAACAAGTCTACAGTCCAATCCTTATGGGCCTCAGTCATCAGTATGGCAACTTTTAGATAAGTTAATACTTCTCAGTAACATACGCCGCGCCACGCCACACCACACCACGCCACGCCACGCCATGCCATACCACACTACACTACACCACGACACGCCACGCCACGCCATGCCACGCCACACCACGACACGCTACGCCACACCACGGCACGCCACACCAACTTGCTAGCCAATATAATGAACACCATCCCATGTGACAGAGTGGAGGCGTCATCAACACGCTGGTCGTATATAACGAGTTTGATGATGGATCAGGCCAGTAAGATATAGTTATACCAATAACCTTAAATTCCAGGCGGGTTAGAGGCTGGCCGATAGAAACAAATGTTTCTTCTCAAAATAATACAGTAAATATACCAGTAGAAAAGTTTTTATTATTTATTATTATTATTATTATTATTATTATTATTATTATTATTATTATTATTATTATTATTATTATTATTATTATTATTATTATTTTACAATGTGCTCCTTGGGAATATCGATCTCAGGGATCATTCACCTCACCAGACGATCCGAAGGACGATATCCTACCTGCAGGTGTCCGGGCATCAAGACTCTGATAAACCATCTTAGGTCGTCCACACACCAAGTTATTTTAGCTTTTATTTCCTTTCTTGATTTATACCTTCCAAAAATTTAAGCCGAGTGTGACGTTAAGTAATTTTATACTTTTGTTTGAAACCTTGTGACAACTCGAGAGTCAATGTCTTGGTGTTGAGTGATCATGCTAGACCAAAGGTACACTAGACATGTACCGATTGTTTGTAGTCATCGTCGAAACAGCTATTTTGACACAAAGATTTTTTTTCCGGCGAACGAATGTAAACAGTGTAATTCTATTAAAGTATTTTCATTCGTGTTTTCCATCATTCATGATTAACACGTCTCCGACACAATGATCATCCTCATAAAAGACAACAACATTGGTCAACATGTAGTCTTTTCTTTTATAAAATTTAAGCATCAAAGTTGCAGTGTTTGACATTCTCTGCCCCCGGATGTAAAATGTGACGAACAAACATCACATTAATGACGGGCGACGCATGACCAAAAAACCGGTTGACAAACATGACACTATTGACAACTCATAGAGCGGGTAATAACAGCAGTGGCTGGTCAGAAAAATAACAAGGCTCTCGGCACACAATACAAAACACTGCATGGAATGTTGCAATACTGACGACCACTGTTGGACACTGTGGCATACTGTAGCTGTGAGGGGCATACTGGTGCCATTGTGTTATAGCTGTGAGGGGCGTACTGGTGCCACTGTGTTATACTGTAGCTGTGAGAGGTATACTGCTGACACTGTGGTATACTCTAGCTGTGAGAGGCATACTGGCGACACTGTGTTATAGGTGTGGTGACAGTGTGTTGTGGCTATGAGAGGTATGCTGGTGCCACTGTGGGAGAATATACTACCATGACACGACACACACACACACACAGCTTTACAACACAGTGCAACAGTAGTGTCACGATGGGACAGATCTCCCGTGTGTTACAACAATAATCTCCTACATGAGGTGTGGACTCGGGCACAGTATTATCTGCACCCTTATCTGGCCCATCAACTCTAAGACAAGACAAAAACAAAAGGTTCAATTACTCTTTAACCCGACTTACCTGGACACAAACAGGTGGATGATTAGGTGTAATGTTTCATATTGTTGGAAGTTTTCTGGCTTTTTGTGTTACGACTACGCTTCAGCTTTTGGACATCACGTTCATGTCAAGTTTATTACGAAAAGTTACCACGTTTTTATAAGAAATTACAAGGGACGTTACTAACACACATTTCCTCGCTTGGTCAACAACTTACTTCCTAAAACTGTCTTAAGTTACCCTTGTGATCCCTTACCTATCCACATACAAATAGCAGAGAAATATCTACATTAACTTAAAAAGTGTATAGAAATAAATTAATAGAGGGATAAAATACTTTGCCAAGATCTCAAAAAGAGCAAAACACACACACACACACACACACACACACACACACACACACACACACACACACACACACACGGAGGAAGATTACTCACTTGGTGTTCTGTGATGATGTAATTAAGAGGCGACGGTTTACAGGTATCTCAGAGGCGGTGCTTCAGTTTTCCATATTCAATGTTTTGTTCTGTTCAAGTTTTTTCATAATATTTCTTGAGTTTGTCTAAATATTATTTATATAATGCTTTGTACATAAACTTACGCAGTACACTGACAACCGGGAATTGCAGAATAATTTATTTTTCCAATTATTATTCTGGTACGAAAATTGACAATTCTTTGTAGGAAATTGCGGTGTGTGTTATCTGTAGTGTCGTGTGTGGAGGTGCAGTGAACATATTTGATCTCTGTTACTAATTATTAATCCAAACATTTTTGTCAGCGGCTGATGAGTGAGAGAAGGGGAGGAGGACGATCATTCCCTCGTTTCTTTTTAGTGTTTAAAGTGAGGACATGGTTATTATTAATAGTTATGGGAAAAGGGTGCAGTGGGCGAGAGGACACAGCACACAGAACATATTCCAGTCCACCCAGCTGTGAACACATAACTTTAGAGTTGGAATAGTGATGGCAGTCGACTGCAGTGCCCACCACAAAGCCTTTTTTTCCGCTACGCAAAAGGGCTTAGAGTACAGTGTGATGTATCCACAATACCCATAACGGCCCTTCAGGTATACGGGACACATTTTAGTGATGTGAAAAGTTATCCATGCATTACTTGAAGGACACAGAGCGAGTGCATCATCAGGAAGATAATCAGGACTTAATGACGTGCTGGTGATGGTCAGGGTGATGCCAGGTGCCACAACGTCTACCTGAGCTGTGAGACGTCGATGAAAATTGGACTAAGATGTTCAGTTTCGTCATAAAGTGTTGGTTCACTGCTGCAGCGTCAGGGAAGTCTATAGTCAGGGCAGGTGTGCGAGCTGATCCAGAAAGTCAGTGTTACAGAAACGAAAGAACAATATTCTATCTCTTCATACACACACACACTGTGCTTCCGACTTTCAATACTAATCTGTACGTAATAATAATAATAATAATAATAATAATAATAATAATAATAATAATAATAATAATAATAATAATAATAATAGTAATAATAATAATAATAATAATAATAATAATAATAATAATAATAATAATAATAATAATAATAATAATAATTATAATAATAGTAATAATAATAATAATAATAATAATAATAATAATAATAATAATAATAATAATAATAATAATAATAATAATAATAATAATAATAATAATAATAAGGGGAGTTAATAATTTAATTC